TAAACAATAGAATATCTGCAAGGTCAATGAGGCAAGGTAATGGCATCATGGGGCCCTTCGACAACAACAACTGCATGCTTCCACTCTTCAACTGGGCTTGTGCTCTCAACATCTCTATACAGTCCTTACAGTTGATAAGTTTTTTAATGTTAAATTATTTAAGAAACTTTTGAATCAAAACATTGACCCCTGGGGTAATATGACATATGTTGGTGACCTACATCAAAATCTTGAATGTTATGCAAAAACTACTGGTGGTTAATCCTGATATATAGCCTAATACTCCTTTATCCCCTAAAATATCTCCTAATACCTTAATCTGTTCATATTCAAATATAATTTACACTTTATGTCCTTAAAATCTTGGTATGATTGTAATCAATTGAATTCAAATCAAATCTAAATTTCACGTCTGTCAATCAATGTCAGAAATTGATATTTATAGTTCTATTAAATTTACATTTAATGGGTCCTTTAATATTACCATTTGTATCCAGGGGTTTGAAAATTTAGAGCAAATCTGACAAAACTGTTTACTGTGTCTTACGACTGTTGGTTTTCTAAATTTGCCAGTATTGACTGCTGAATTGGCTGTAGTATCTCTTTAGATAGAGACTCAAAAACTATTAATCATTCATACCTAAATACTCAGCCTCTCAAAGGTTGTCTATCACAGTATATCTGGACTTTTGTTTCTGCTGTAATTGCCAGTCATGTCTGAATTAGGCTTAAAAATAGCTCAAGTTCATCACAGAGCATCAAATAGTAAACCAGTAAACAAACAGCTTCAGTCTCTCAGACATTTTAATTGATTTGAGGTTTCATGATTATTTAATAATCTCAAATTGAAATATTATGATAAATAAGTATAACTATAATCTGTAAATGATAAGAAATCTGAAGTGTCAAGACCTTGTCACTAATCTTCCTAATTCTCCTAACTAATAATTTAAATAAATAATTTACAGTCAATTTAATTGGGTAAACTTTATCATCTACTTATAACACATACTATGTTCACTACAGATGTCCTCACTATAGCCAATGTTGAAACAGAGATCATAGCAGCAGAAAATAAATTTGCAGTCAAAATGAAATTTAAGATTTGAAGTATGTCAAAGTTCAATTAAATTCAAAATTCTTTCAAATTTTAATCAATTTTTATATATTATAATTGTATCACTTGTAGCGATGTATATAATTAAAGCGTCAGAGATCAACCTTAATCCCTTTAATCTCTAAACCCATCAGAAAACAAAGACACAGCCATCACAATGGAGGTAAAGATAAGATAAATCAAGATAAATCAAGATAAATCAAATGTAATCAAGATAAATTATAAATTCTCTCTCCTCCCTGGACAGGTAAATTACAGTACTATCTAGTTATTATACAGTCTATACACAGGTATATTTCATCTTGTTTCCATGACAATTAATTACACACAAATTTCATTTTGAAGCCTACAGCAATATCTATAAGTTTAAGATAGATTTCATGTTTCTGTGATACTTCTTACACTTGATGATTTTAACCAATATATTCTAAAAACTAATTATAAAACCATAAGCTTATCCTGTCTTTCAGTTATGTAACAGAATACAGATTCTCTTGAAGACATTGAAAACCCAAGTCCTACAGTAAAATCAGGTGTTCAAGAAAAAAATATGCCATGACCCCTACCCTATACAGTGAGCACCCATTTCACTTTTTAAGATTATCGCAAATTCAGGATCAATTTTAATTGAAATTTTTTTATTTTTGTCCTAATTTAATAATTGATTACCTGTCAATTAGTCACAATATGTTAATGATATTTAACTAGATATTTTAATCACTGTAAAATTAAATTATCCAGGCTTATAAATAATCAATTCAAAACATTTTGTTACTGGTTAACTGTTCAAAACCTAATCTAATTCCTACATATACAAAATAGCTAAAAACTGCAATTAGCATCTGACCTTAAAAAGCTTGAACTAATCTAATTAAGAAATTAATTAGCCAAATCATCATTAATTATTAATTAGATTCATTTGTCAAACAATGGTTTTGGCTATGCTTTTACAGTGAAATGAAAGTAGTCGTTTTTAATGTCCATTGCTATAATCTTTAATTCATGATACAATGATTTTTAACTGACAGCTAGTGGTCCTTCAGTTAAGAAACTGTCGTCTGCATGGTCGTTTGTTACTAAAATCAGCCAGGTCTTACAAAACAGTTGTCCTTAAACCTGAGGCCACTCTTGGGTTTATCTCAGCTTCTCTTCTTGATAGTCAACATAACCCCCAAATTATACTGCAACAAACTAAATACAATAATGAGTAGTGAAAAAAAAAAACCTTTGAACTTTGAAATGTTATTTAAATTCAAAACAAATTGTATAATGCACAGCTTATTGCATAATCGACATAATTTAAATAAATTTTCTGGTTAGAAAATGAAATCAATATTGTATAGACATTATTTTATGTTCACCACATTGTGATCAATTATTGGTACACATGTTCAACTACAGTTTAAATATCCTTTAATCAATGCTCATTTTACAAACTTCAAATGCTTTGTGTTTCAAAATAAAAATTTTATCCAAAATATACATTTTAAAATAGTTGCTTTCTTTATGTACACATGATTAAGAGATTGTGCAGTTTTCAGAAAAAAATCACCTTTGCTTTGAACTTTTGATTGAATTACTTAGTGGAAGTTTTTTTTCATTCATTTCTTCAGCTTTATTGCATTTAATAACACAAATTATGTTTTAGAAAATTTTTTTTCAAATGGCTTTTAACATTTTAACAGGTTAGCCATCAATGTTATAATGTTAAAATACTTGTATCAGTGTATCTATGTTATATGACGTCTGTTTGGATTTTCCCACCAAATTAAAGTACCAAACAATTAGATGTAGAAATTTGACAGATTAGTTTAAATGACCGTTCCCACAGTGGACAGTAAACAGTCACTAGTGTTCACTTGACGTAAGAATTAAGAAAAACATGTTCAAGTAGACAAGGATATGTTCAGCTAGATGTTCTCAAATAGAACATGTGAACATTGTTTCATATTACATCATTGGTAAGAATTATGCAATTCAGTCTGAGTTATCAAATAATTCAGTGCACTAGAAAAGGATCCTTTTGTATGGTCAAGGCTGTGAATAATGAACTTTAAGAAATACAATCATCTCAAAAGTACAGACGAACTGAATGGTGTCCTAAACAGCAGAGTCAGAAAGATAAAATGTATACAAATGCCTGTAATCCTCAAGTCATCATTGAAATATGAAAATATCTGAAATTCAGCTTAGACCCAGCAAAATTAAAGACTATTTATAAGTAGGAAATAAGAATATCTAACAAGATATTTGAAACCTGCAGTCAAATGGAAGAAATTCTTTCAAATTGACAATAATGTTACTATACATTTACAAACATTGCCCCAGGCGGCTATCTTGTCACGGTTGATTTGAAGTACAGGAGGTAAGGTGGGTAGTATTCGACAACATACAGGAAACTGAATACCTGTGACAGAACATCAATCATGGCCTGCGTCAAATAGAACAATAGCACACCGTGTTACTATGTACATTTATCACAAAATGGTGACCAAACCGTCATTATGTTTATCAAATTTTTAACATCACAACTGACCACTGTTTCTAGACAGTAAAGTTGTTTATTTGGACACAAGATCATCACTCTAAACCTAATAGACGTCTCTAATAGCCAAGCTAGTCCTGTTATCCCCATTGGAAAATTTGTGTTAAAATATAACCTTAGTCTCAAAACTAAAGTGAGAATGGTCCAGAAAAACCCACAAATAAAATTAGTCTAACATTCTAGCCCATTGAAATTTCACACAAATCAAAGTCGCCTACATAAAAAATTTGCATTTTTACACCAGTCATAACATAGAGAGTAAAAAACTTTTAACAACCATGAATATAAAATAAAAGAACAAATGAACATGATTTGAATTTCAATTGAAACATTTCAATATATGATTCATTCAAGTATTGAACAACCATATAAAAGTCAGGTTTAAACATGTTTTAGGACATTTTCCCACATGAACCCAAATCGCACTATTTTATATTTCAAAAGTTTTATTTCATTTGCATTAAGAAGCTTAAAAATTCACAGTAGGGGATTGAAGGTTTTTTATCCACTCTGAATTTCAAATTAAAATGGCCACTGGGCCAAACAAACACATATTGTGAACAATTTTTAATAAAAAATCTTGATCCTTTCATATTGCATGGTGAACAATAGATACATTTTCTTTGTAATGTTGAGTACATGTCGTCCAATATTGGATATATTGAAGCCAAGGGTCGTGCGGAATGGCCAGTAGTATACAATACATCTATAGAAATTAAGGATAATGGGGGCATAGCGTATCCCTAAATTGACACTATGACAATAAAAAGGTCTGGTCTAATTGTTTGTGCTCATAAAAGATTATCTGCTCACAGAGGGTCAATCATGAGGGGTTGTATTCTACCAAATCTACTCATATTCAAAATATTCTTTATGATTTTGTCATATCCTTTCTTAATTTATCCACACACCTGCTTTTAATGGCCAGTAAAGTCAGACCAAGTCAACAAGACAACCAACTTTTACATTTCAAATAAATACTTGTAATGCAAGGCTAGGTAAATACAAAACAACATCCATTTTAAACTGAAAATATCTTGTTTTCACATTGTGCTAGTAGTTTAAATAACTTTTATCTTTCAATAAACTTGCCCTCTCGCTTCAAATCAGATTGAAAGTTTTAGACTGTAGTGTCTTTACATCAATAATTACTTTAATCAAACTGATAAAATATATTTATAAGAGACATTTTATTTTATCACAAACCAATGATACATATTTCACAGTCCTATCCACAAATTTAAGATATTGAAATTCATCAGATTATGTGAGATCAGGAAAATATTTTTTGTATAGTTGTGCTGTACCCAACTCCCATTGAAAATAAATTGTTCTTACCTTAGTGCTCCTAGTTTTTGGAGAACTACCACCAACTTCAATAGCTGTAACTTCCACTTCAAATATTTCTGGCAAATACTCCCGGTCTAAAACTTGGGTTGTTTTCATTAATCCATTAAGTTTATCAATAGAAAAATACCGAGGCTGTGGCACAGAATTTGCCAAAATCTTTGTCACATAATACTCCACATTTACTCCTGATTGGGTTGCTGAAGCTTGAATGTTAGTCACTCCTTTTCCCGGAGGTTCATTTTCCTCAATATTGCCAGCTTTAATGTTCGTGAAAATAGGTCCATCATTAGAGCTTGATATAATAATCGTCATTTCCATCCTGGTAGATTTTTGTCCTAAAACATCTCGTCCACCATCATCCTGGGCCTGTACTGTGATTGTATGATATATTGCTGATGCAGGAAGGTCTTGAGAAAGAGTTAATTCTCCTGTAGTTGATTGAAGAGAAAATAAGGAGGTATCACCAGCTACCATTTGATAAGCTACCAACCCATTGTTTCCAGCATCCTGATCACGTGCTAATACAGTTCCAATTTTATAACCTCTTTTGCTTCTTGCGGGAACAACCATAGCATTCATAGATTCAAAAACTGGAGCATGATCATTGATGTCTGTCACAATAATGGTAATAGTCTTCATTGCTGATAATCGTTTATATACAGGAACTGCCATATCAGTAGCTATGATAGTTAAAAAGAATTTGTCAGTCTGTTCTCTGTCAATTTCTCTTTGAATAAAAATCTCTCCTGAAAATACGTCAATTCTAAAATGGTTTGGAGCATGGTCTGGAACAGGTTCTTGTTTAGCTATAATATACTGGACACGACCATTACCTCCAGAATCCTTATCTGTAGCTCTGACTATGGTTACACTGCTGTTTACTCTCTTAGATTCTGATATTGTAACTGATGATGATGTGTCTTGAAAAACTGGAATATTGTCATTCGCATCCATTACCTGTACAATGAAGTTATGGGTAGTTGACAAAGATGGAGAACCAGCATCAGATACACTGATTTCAAGATCATATTGAGCTTTACGTTCATAGTCCAGAGTTCTTGTTAGGTACATACGACCAGAATACGCATCAATGTTGAAAGTATTGTCATTATTTCCACTAACAATGTTAAAGAATAGAACAGCATTGTTGCCACTATCAGCATCAATGGCAGTAAAGGTTGTGATGTGGTAACCCAAAGGAACAGATTCTGACAGATCTACACTCTTCTGGAAGGCAGCTGATTTTGAAACAGGCTTATTGTCATTTATATCTGCAACTGAAATAATGACAGTTGTTGAAGAACTATGCTGGACTGTGTCTCCAGAATCTGTTGCTGTAACAACTAAGGTATAGCTTGACTGTTCTTCTCGGTTTATTTTACCAGTTAAATAAATCTGACCAGTGGCTTCTCGGATGTTAAATTTTAAATCTGAATCACTCTCTGATATGGAATATTTGATGACAGCATTTGGTCCATCATCTGCATCAACTGCTGTAACAATTGTTATATTGGTGTTTGGGCCAGAATCTTCCATTACAGATGCAGTGTAAATATGTCGTGGGAAAACAGGTGGATTGTCATTTTCATCCTGTATATGAACTTTGATCAAAGCTCGAGCTTGATTTGGTTTTCTTCCATTATCCTTGACATAGATGTAAAAAGAGAAGAAATCATTGTTGGTGGTCTTAAGAACATATTCACGATTGAACTGTCTTGCTGTGTAAATTCTTCCAGTAGGAGCATCAATCGTAAAGTTCTTCTGACCATCACCCCAGAAGGTTAACTCAGCATTTGGTCCAGAATCGGCATCTTTGGCCATGACTTGACCAATGTAGGATAGAGAAGGCTGATTTTCAGACACATAAAAGTGGAAGGTTGAATTCATGAAGACTGGGGTATTGTCGTTATCATCTAAAATATTGATGGTGATGTTTGAGGTCGAACTTCTTGGTGATTCCCCACGATCACAAACTACCACTGTCACCATGTACAAATCATGTTCTTCTCTGTCCAGTTGGTGAGCTACATACAAAGTTCCATCAGGAAAGATTCCAAAACGATTGTGATCATTGCCTCTGATTATTTTGAAAAACATTTCACTGTTTTTACCCTTGTCATCATCAGTGGCCAGAAGTTGAAAGATAATTTCATTTACTGGTTTGGATTCATAGATGGAAACTTCATACTGATTTTTCTGGAAAACTGGAGTGTGGTCATTAACATCAATAATATTAATATGAAGCTCTAAAAGGGATGATTTTTGTGGAGATCCACCATCTGTAGCAATTATTTTCAAATCAAATGAGGAAACTGGAAGATTAACAACTGCTTTCTTAAGATAGATGACTCCAGTAGGTGACTTGATGCCAAAATAATCGGAACTGGTCTGTAATCTGTAGGTTACTTTACCATTGACCCCATCATCTGCATCAATTGCTTCTGCTAAGAAGATGTTATGCCCTATAGGCCAATCTTCAATCACCTCTACTGACATTGCTGATGATCTAAATCTTGGTGAATTGTCATTTATATCTTTTACTTTGACAGTCACAATAACCTGTCTAAATTTGGATGGACCGATAGCTAAAACTTTTAGATCATACTCATCCTTTTCTTCTCTGTCAATCTTTTTATTAGTGGTTATCTCCCCTGTTTGATCATTGATGCTAAAGACTCCAAATTGATCGCCACCAGCAATCGAGTAGGCTGGTGAACCTGTGGTAGAAGAAGCCGATACAACACCTACTCTACGACCAATTTGATTTCTAGCATCATCTCCATCTTCATCAATTTCAAAAGCATAAGACCTTTTTCTAAAAACAGGAGCAACCTCATCCACAGCAGTGACAGAAATTTTGACGGAAGCATCATTTGTTGCTGATCTTCCTTTCCCATCAACAGCTCGGATCACCAAGTCATACTTTTTACCAGCATTACGATTTAGTTGTCTGGTAGTCCTGATCCATCCAGTACCACTGTCAATTTGGAAGCTATTAAAATCATTGCCAACTATGGAATAAGTGATTCTACCATTTTCACCTTCATCAGGATCAACTGCAGCTACCCTGACAACCTCTGTGCCTGATTGGCGATTCTCTTGGATGTTTCCATAGATTATATCTGGGTAAAATTTGGGTGTATTGTCGTTCACATCCAGTACTCTGATGTTGATAGTGGTTGTTGATGACAATGACGGAATGCCTTGATCTCTTGCAATCAATTTCAAAGTGTAGGCTGACACAGATTCACGATCAAATGATTTTAAAGTGGTAATTTTTCCTGAATTTTGATCTAATGTAAAAGTATTTGGGTACTGTCCATGAACATCTGGATGGAATGAGTACTTGATAGTTCCATTAATGCCTCTATCTCTATCTTCAGCTTTGATTGTCACAACTTCAATACCACTTGCCAAGTTCTCCTCCATGTTGATTGGATAGACAGATTGGTTAAAAGTGGGAATTTCATCATTTTCATCCAGGATCACAACAGAGACTTGGGTAAAACTGACAAAAGGTTGAGAACCACCATCTCTTGCAGAAACATTCATCTTGACTGATGACATGATTTCATGATCCAAAGGAGATTGGATTGTCATCAAACCAGTTCCACTGTCAATTTTAAACCAACCATTAGAATTTCCATCCTCAATGGTGTATACAAGATCAGAGTTCAATCCAGAATCCAGATCAGTAGCCTTGACACTAGCAACAAAACTTTCTGGAAGAGATGTTTCTTGCAACTCCACAGAATATTCTGATCTTTCAAAAACTGGAGCATGATCATTGGCATCATTAATTTTGATGATAAGAAAAGCTGTAGAACTTCTTGGAGGAATTCCTTTATCAGTGGCCACAACTGTCAAATTATAAAAATTTAGTTTTTCTCTATCCAAATGTCCAGCAACTCGAATAATGTTCAAAGTGAAAAAACTGAAAAGTTTGAAATGTCCAAGTTCATTTCCACGAGTGATTTGAATAGAAGTTTCACTGTTGATGCCTGTGTCTGCATCCTGAACACTGATGGAAGCCACACGTTTTCCAGGTTCTGTGTTTTCATCTACGGAAGAATAATCTTTAGAATTGTCTGGAACGTGATCGAAGATAATAACTGGGCTATGATCATTTGTGTCCACTATACTAACACTGATATAGGCTTGATCAGAGAGAGCTGGTGTGCCTCGATCTTCAGCAATTACAGTTAAGAGACAGCTATATGGACTACAAGAAAGAGATCTTCCACAAACACGACTACATTTTAATGGTTTTGTTAGTGTCCGAACAATTCCCGTTTTTTCCTCGATCATAAATTGTCCTGTTTCATCCAGTAAACTGTAAACAATTTCTTTATTGAGCCCAGAATCAGCATCTGATGCTATAACTCGTATCACAGATTGTCCGATTTTTGCATCCTCCAAGATCTTCTTTTTGTATTCACTTGGATTAAAAATTGGTGGATTGTCATTCACATCCGAGACGGAAATATTCACAGATAAAAATCCATAAAGTGGTGGAATGCCATTATCTCTTGCAGATATATTCAAAATATATTGATCTTTTAATTCTCGATCTAAATCACCAATCACTTCTATATACATAAAGGGAGAACTCGAACTTGGAACAATTAATTGGAATTTTCCTTCGTGATTTCCGGATATGATGTCATATTGTGACACTGTGCCGTTTTCACTTAAATCAATGTCAGTAGCTGTCACTATGATATGTTGTGCACCTTTGGCATTTTCCCCAAATGAAATATTCATTGCTTGTTCTTGGAAAACTGGACGATTGTCATTAATGTCTAAAATTTTGATTAAAATTTCCACAGGGTGTGGGGGATTTTGTGATTTTGAGCCGAGAGCGAATAAATTAATTACATCCTGAGAAAATTGTGATGTGTCTCGATCTAAAACAAGTTTATTTACTAATACACCTGAAGAGCTATTTAACACAAAATATTTATTAGGTCTATCTAACTGATATGTATAACCGGACCGAGTTGGAATAACACCTAAAGTAGTCCCAGGGGGTAGCCCTTCTGTTGTTTCAAAATTAACTCTATCATCACCTGGTCCATTTCCCTGTGCAAATTCCACTAGAAAATGCAATAACAGCAGATATATTATTCGATGTTTAGTCCTATGTGGAATTGATGTGTGAAATTTAGAAACCATCATTTTCGAACTGGCCTCCATGTTATTGTTGCGCTAATTACAACACACGGTACAGGTAAAATCCAGGTGAGTTGATCACGATTATTGTTTATCAAGATAGATTCCACATTTTCTATCACTTCTAGCCCCTTGTTTCATACTCCAAGAAAAGATGATTTCATATTAGTCTGTGTACACATTATAAGCGATTGAATATAGATAAAAACAGTTGACTTTTTGCTAAAATTAGCTTGCTTTGATATCAAGTGAGATCTTGTGAAGTAAACCACGCGTATACACTGCAGGTTACACACACTACTCGTTCCTACTATTATAACCAAAACACATCGTCTAAAACTTCTAAAATACCCATATATCCATCAAAATTATACACAATTTTCATATATACACTCTTACATAGTTCATTAGTCTTTCAAATAATCCAGAAACTGTTAATTTTAACTCATATTTTTGATCTAAACAATCGTATAGTCCTAGTATGTTGTACAGTGTAAAGTTGACTGTATTATGGTAGCTGTGGAGTTCAATCCCTTTAAGCTCCACCCACTTTATTGTGATTGACATAAACATTAACCAATCAAATCGCGTAATTCTTCTCGATGTGGTGACTGAAAAAGAATGTGAAACAATTCGGATTTCCGACAATTATTTGTATTATCCGTCTTTTCTTTGAGGATTTCGACAAGAAAAAAATTATTTACTGTTTGAGACAAAACATTACAAGTTTCGGTGTGTTCAAACGGTGTAACATTGGTGAAATTCGTTGATTTAGGGATTTCAGCATCAAATTGTTAGATGACAAATTTAAATAGACTTTCTTTTCACTTTCCTACTTTATTAAAACATGCCCTTCAGCATCAAAAGGCTACATAACAAAATTAAAGCCAATTTGAAATTGAGCGATAACTAGCTTTAAAATTGTCCAAAAGGCATTGTGACCTATTGATAATCACGACTTCCAGGGGTTCCTTTTTTTAAATTTCGACTTTCAATGGTGAAAAAAAGGATGATGTCAGAAATCCAATGTAAATTATGTTACTAAAATAGTGGCGTTTCGAATCCTATTTTATCTAAAAATATGTGGGTCATTATCTAAAGAATCTCAATAAATTATCAAATGTGTTATTTTAAAAAGGCAGCCAAATTTCCAACACCGAATTACTAATTTTTTTGTAAACTGTGTGAGTAAAATGCGAATTTCGAAAATTATAAAATTGATTGATTATAGGCCGAAATAAAATTGAAGTCTGTAACTGTCACGATGTCAATATAAAATATATTTCTCTATAGATGATTCATATCTTACCTATAAACTATGTCTAATAACTTATATACTCTTAGTCATTTTACAACGAAAAAATATACCTGTAGACCAATAGTGAAAAACAATGTATTCCGTGGTGCTGATAGTGGTAAACCTTCCATACCCCCTTTCTCTTGTCATGTCTGCAGCATAGAGTGGAGAATTAAATATAATCATTTCTAGCAGAGCACTTCACAATTGGAAATGGAAAAAGTTGCAAAAAGTAGGCCTATATATGCTCACAAATTGTCCTTCATTGTAGATATTTATTTGAAATGAAATATATTTGTTCTATATCTAAGATCAATTGCGGGTAAAAACACGTGTGAAGTGAAATGAAGTGAAGAGATTATCTAAATATTGAAACTATTTGGTGCTCAATCTTGATCCATATAAATGTATATTTTGATTGGGTCTTAATCCCATATTTTGATATATCCTCACCCCTCGGGCACTATTTTACCTTTGATTTTATTATAGTTGTACAGGTGATGGGCTTTAGACGGCCTGAGGTTATAACAACATTTCATAGCGTTTTTCACAGAAAATTACATAGAAATATAGTTTTGTAGCACAATCATGCAGAGGACTAGGAAGGTTCTTGATAGAACTAAACGAGAGTTTATTGTCAATTATTGTCCCCCGCTCATCTAAAGATAAATAGTATTGTATATAGTATAGTTATACAATAATAAACTAATATAATATACACAGTAAGTATAATATATTAATAAATGTCAGGTACAATAATACAGGTGTTGTTATTCTCGCCTCCCTGACACCTTATATTACATTATTCTTATAACTTTAATTAATAACTATTGATAACCCCCCCTCCCCCCCTCTCCCTCTATACCTCTACAATTTACAACCCTTATTATAGATTTTCAATAGAAAATGTAAATATATCAACATTTATGTGGATAAATAGAATTAAATAATATGATCTCCCAAATTAAAATAATTCGTTTTAACATTAGCGGCGAAGCACTTTCTAAAGCATTTGCATATAATCCATGACATGCCATATAATGAGATCAAACAAACAAACACAACGATTATTACTGCAGCGGCAAATACGCATTTAATGAAAAGCTATAGAGAACTCCGTCTAGAAGGAACTTTCCCTGTAGCATGCAGCGATTTGATTGGATAGAACGCTGTCCAGGGCTTCCAAGACACAAGACGAGTTCCTAATAGTGTCGGGGTATTAAACGGAGTTCGTAATAGGGCCTACACGTATCCTATCTTGAGATTGTGAAGATGGAATACTTGACGTAGATCCTTTTGTCATAGGTTTTTTTTACTACTATTTTAATGAAGAAACAATCAGCAAATACTTCATGATTTTCCCGAACAAATGAAAATAGATTTGTAGATTGTGTTGAAGATTATCAGATAGATCAAATCAAAACAATAAGGTTCATTAAGATTGTTCTGGACGTCATTAATTCAAACCGATAGAAGGATAAGATTTTAGATTACTTATAACAAGCGATGTTTAATGACAATTCAATGATATTTACCCTTATGATATACTGTATTGTTGATGATAGTATGGTGTCTATCATTAAGTCTCAGTTCTAGAGATTATCAAGTCTGATGATTTCGATCTTCGAATTTTCTCGATATTCACATTCCGCAATAAGACAAGGGGTCCACAAACGGAACAATCTGTTATAATTCAGAACCGTGTTCAGGTTCATCATGATAAACAGATAATCATGACTTAATTCACCGTCAGCGAATGGACATTTGACATCCATTACAGCTTGATGTCTCATTAGTCATTAAGGATCGTATACTGTCATCTTCAGGTATGAGCTAGATGTTGAATATCAGTGAAATGTAGAGGATGTCGATGAGGTGTTGGTTAACAACAAGACAAATAAATTATATTTCTTTGGGGATCAGGGACTACACATACAAAATACACAAATCAACATAAATAGTAAAATAAGGAAACTTGTGTTGACTTGGCTAAATCGGCACAGAGAGACCAACTGGCAGTTCCTTGGATTGAATGCTCGAAGAGCTTCTATTTGCAAAGTTCTCGAAGAGAAGAAAGTTATTAGAGCCGTCGTCAGCGGGTTGCCTTGATTATTCCAAACAGCGTAGACGACTGTTTTCCGATCCAGTTGGAATAAATGTCCAACAGTGATCATAGTCGACAAATCCCCATTGTTAAAATGTTGTTACCTTTATAAAGGTATCTACATTAGTGTATTATATAATAGAACATTACTTATTAAAGATCACAAACAATACTATATTGTTGTCTAGAACAAGTAAACAGACATTAAATATGTTGAGTCGATTTCGGTTCTTGTCAAGTGCTCGAACGAGTAAAGTTGACGATATCTCAGTTACTGCCCATAACTGAATCAGAAAATAGTTTGTTAACTGGGTAATATAGTTTTTCTTCTGATTTTGGAAGTTAATTTGGAAGTTGACCAATTAAATTGTATTGCCTTGAAAACATTATCATTAAAGTGGCGTGTTTAACAAACTATCCATTTCATTATAATGGATACCCTACCTGTATCGTTTTTAAAAATTGAAATTCCTCCCATCCAGTACTGAAATTGAACAAATTCGTACCGTGGACACTTTCTAAGATGTCACTTTGCATTGGACTTCATGTCCTTTTTCGGTTTTTACTGTCCGATAATGTTAATGACGGCATTATGTGTGATGACCGGTGTGGTGAACGATGTGGAATTATAGATACAGTACAGAGTAGAAAGTAGAGGAGGAGAATTGTGTCTAACTAGTCTATAAATCACCATCACTTGACACATATAAATTGTACCTTCTCTACATTAAAATGTCTATCATATAATAGAAGGGACGTAACTCCATTTAATTGACAAAATTAGAACACACCAATACTGTTAATATTGTTTCCGCTCATAATGTTCCATGTGAAAAAGAGAAAAAAAAAGTGAGGTCCGAATTAAATTTGGTGGAATTTATGATGAGAAATGATATACAGAACATATCAAGGGCAAACCTCAGAGTTTACTGAAATGGTCAAATATCGCAGTGTGTAGCGAGACAGAAATGAACAAACCTTGCAGAAATTCAGTTGGTCATAACTGACATAAATGTCATGAGTCATGAGTTGATTTCTTGTGAAAACAGAGCAATCGAATTTGTAGCAGACGTATCTATTCAGATGCACCGATTTAAATCTGTATCAATCGGCAAATATACCCTCAAAGTTCGCAAAGAAAAATGTGATAAAAAAATTGCTTGCCTAGACATTATCTTGGTCTTCGGTTATTTCAGAATACACGACCTTACTAACAGTCAATCAATTCTACCTCATGTAGTTTCTATAAAGCATCAGATGGAGGGGGCAATACCACCTGACAATACCCAATTGTATAAAATTTGAAACGGAGGGATGAGGGGTGGGGACAAAGGCCGCGGCAGTCATTTCCGACTTCCCGAGTAGAAACGCCACTGCTAACTAACTCTGATTCGGACTATGACAACTTGTTATACATCTTTCTAAATCTATTTCATTATTATCTTTTCAACGTACATTAATAATTCTTTTGATTTCTCAAAAGCAGACTAACCATTCAAACCTTATTCATTTGTTTGAACAGTTGAACTTCAGGATGATATTTTGTATTCTTTTCTTGGAATTTCTTTTGTATTGCCAACAATTTGATGCAGTCTCAAGAGATTGAAAAGGTGAATTCTTCTTTTAAAACTTCCTGTGATAGTAGATCTTATATTTCTAGAGCATTATTCATCATGTGCCTAGCAGTATCTCGTCTTTAAACTAAACCAAATCTTTCTGGTGAACGTTACAGGAAATGAAGTTTAGTAGGCTATTGTAAATCCAGCACGTAGGCCTAGGCATAAGCCTGTAGCACACGGGGCCTTGTCCGATCCGAACGACTGGACGCTTTTTCCATGTAATATGAGAGTAAAGAATGATAAATCAATGTGAGAGTAAAGTATGATCGATCAATATGAGAGTAAAGTATTATCAATTAATATGAGAGTAAAGACTGGTAAATCAATATGAGAGTAAAGTATGATCATTCAATATGAGAGTAAAGTATGATCAATCAATATGAGAGTAAAGACTGGTAAATCAATATGAGAGTAAATTATGATAAATCAATTTGAGAGTAAAGTATTATCAATCAATATGAGAGTAAAGTATGATCAATCAATATGAGAGTAAAGTATGATCAATCAATATGAGAGTAAAGTATGATAAACCAATATGTGAGTAAAGTATGATCAATCAATATGAGAGTAAAGACTGGTAAATCAATATGAGAGTAAATTATGATAAATCAATGTGAGAGTAAAGTATGATCAATCAATATGAGAGTAAAGTATGATCAATCAATATGAGAGTAAAGTATGATCAATCAATATGAGAGTAAAGTATGATAAACCAATATGTGAGTAAAGTATGATCAATCAATATGAGAGTAAAGACTGGTAAATCAATATGAGAGTAAATTATGATAAATCAATGTGAGAGTAAAGTATGACCAATCAATATGAGAGTAAAGTATGATAAACCAATATGTGAGTAAAGTATGATCAATCAATATGAGAGTAAAGTATGATCAATCAAGATGAGAGTAAAGTATGATCAACCAATATGAGAGTAAAGTATGATCAATCAATATGAGAGTAAAGACTGATAAATCAATATGAGAGTAAAGTATGATCAATCAATATGAGAGTAAAATATGATAAACCAATATGTGAGTAAAGTATGATCAATCAATATGAGAGTAAAGTATGATCAATCAATATGAGAGTAAAGTATGATCAACCAATATGAGAGTAAAGTATGATAAAAAAATATGAGAGTAAAGTATGATCAAAAAATATGAGAGTAAAGTATGATCAATCAATATGAGAGTAAAGTATGATCAATCAATATGAGAGTAAAGTATGATCAATCAATATGAGAGTAAAGTATGATGAACCAATATGAGAGTGAAGTATGATGAACCAATACATGTATATGAGTAGAGTAAGATAAATCAATTTATAATTAAGTTATTCCTTGGAATAGACTGCGTTTAATATTGCAGCGTGTAGCTAGACAGAAATGGATTATTTCAGAACAAACATAGAGATTCAAATGAACATAACTTTGCGACATTTTACTATTTACACGGGGAGATACCAGGAAAGTTTCCTTCAGTACGCACTAATATTGTCCTCAGGAACCTGGTATTTGAAACAATTCACCTTCATATTGGGTTCAATATAAATTGTTAATTTGATGTACTGAATTAAACCTATACCAATCGGGATATTTACCCTCAGAGCTGTCAAAGCGTAAAGAAAAATTGTGATGAAAAAATTCATTTATCTTGACAGTATCTAAATGTGAATAAATATCTGTAATAGATCTTGATTGGTCATTGTGTATCTACAAAGCAAGCATGGATCTTTTTTTCAGAATACACGAACTCACTAACACTGGTTCGGTCTAAAACAAGTTTAACTATTTATTCGTCTTTCAAAATCTATTCATTTATTCGTATATATTATTATTAGCAACTTTATTGATTTCTCCCAAGTAGACTAACCATTTATACCATTTGTTTGAACAGATAAACTTCAGGATGATGTTTTGTATTCTTTTTCTGGAATTTCTTTTGTATTGCAAACAATTTAACGCGAGTCTTAACAGACTGAAAAGGTGAAATCTTTTTTTAAAAGATTCTTTTGATCGTACATCTTATGTTTCAAGAGCGTTAATCATCATGTGCCTAGCAGTATCTTTTAGTCTATTAGCTAGTCTTAGTCTTTCTGTTGAAAAATACAGGGAATAAGAATATTATAATTAGTTTTTTTAAGCTTTATGCGTATAGTGTCGTTTACAACATGGAAGTAAAGTATGATAAATCAAGCACGTAAGCTGAGGAGTTCTTTGAGTTACGAGCGAACCCTCAAAAAAAGTCTTCGAGGGCATTAACTGAATACCACTGAAGACCATGATGTCAGTATGATCAGGAGATATGAGATTCAAGCATGATAAATCATGATGAGAGTATGGTTAATCTATATCAATAAATAAACCAAGTGCTAATGATCCGAACCGCAAATAAATCCATAACAACACATAGGGGATACATTGGTAGAAGCTAATGAACTTTTCACGTGAGGAAGTATTTCATAATGAAAAGTATCACAAAAACACGTATACTTGTGAGAGTAAAGTATGACAAATCAATGCAAGATTAAAGTATGTAAGAGTAAAGATAATAAATAAATAATGATAAATTATGATAAATTAACAAGAGATACTAATTTGATAAATTAATGCGAGAGTAAAGTATGATAAATTAACAAGAGATAAAAATTTGATAAATTAATGCGAGAGTAAAGTATGATAAATTAACAAGAGATAAAAATTTGATAAATTAATGCGAGAGTAAAGTATGATAAATTAACGTGTGAGTAAAGTATGGTTAATCAATGTGAGAGTAAAGTATGATAAAACAATGTGAGAGTAGAGTATGATAAATGAATATAAGAATAAAGTATGATAAATAAATGCAAGATTAAAGTATGGCAAATCAATTAGAAAGCAAACTATAATAAATCAATGTGAGAGTAAAGTATAATAAATTGCAGAGAGAGAAAATTATGATAAATTAATGGGAGAGTAAATTATGGTAAATTAATCGAAATATCATACCAATTTTCTCATTTAAAAGATCTTCATGATGCATTTGTAGTTTGAATTTATTGTCAGTTATTTATATTTGAGTTTTTCCACCATATATGTTAATAGCATTAAATCAAATAAATCAAATCACTCTGCTCTCATATCTTAAATTTTAAAATTCGAACTTGACCAAGATCTAGGCAATATAATTGATCACAACAAATTTCATTAAAATCAGATGAAAAAAAAAACTATTGTGTTCACATGAAATATTGACGGACTGGCAGACTGACGGACAGACTGACGGACCGACTCACGGGGAAGGGCGACGGCAATATACGTGCACATTAACTTATGGGCGTATAAAAAGTTAATGAACAAACAAATAAATTTATTTTAGTTTTTAATTGATTGAAAGTGTTTGTGGAGTTGTGAGACTAACATAGTATGAGGACACATCGACATTATACTTTTCTGGTACAAAAATCGTTTACCAGTTAACAAATGTCTTTCATCCATGTTGTAGAACCATTCAATACATCTGATGAATTAGATTGAGTAGAAAATAGATAACATGTATCAATGTGAAAGTTTATGGCGATACAAACCCCTGTATCATAAGAAGTGATACACGCCCTGGCACAATCAAATACCGAAACTGGATAGACGGTGGCTGAAGGTGTCCCTGAGGGTCTCTCGTCTTTTACCACTAAATTAAAATATGAACAACTTTGTCCTAAAAAGACACAGAACAGTAACAATTATATTAAAGGGATTGAAAAAAGGTTTTCTATACCTTTTATGTGCATGAGGGACATCGATTTGCACCATTCCAGTTTTCAGTCAAACGTCTGACTGTACAGAGTTGTCAAGGACCCATTGCTAAATTCTGACAGAAAACAATAACCTGTAGAACGTATTGCGGTGACAGATCCCTAAAACATGTTTTTCAAGTTGCATAGAGTACAGGTTTTCCTTGTTCCGAAGATTGGACACGTGAAAGACATGCATTTCTTCATGACTGGTATCGAAGAGATGCCATTACCTAATTTTCATTACATATCTGGGTGTTGCGATACCTTTTTTCTTTGTGTATAGTTTTTTTTTACCAGCTAACCTAAAAGGAATTCTACCTTTGGTCCCACAGCTACAATTTGTGTTTGTGATAATTGGTTAAAAAAAAATGCATTCTACATTTATTTATTTTTGAAAGAGTGGCAATAGAACTAAATTGTTTGAGTTTGAAACAACTCTGTGAGCCGCAAAGAGTCTGCTTTTATTAGGCGCAAAAAGCGTCTAGGTATAATCAAAGTCGATTTTATCCTATGTTAATCTGATTCGATTACGTCTGAAAACCATTTATCCTGTATCAAACCGAAATTAGTTATGGTAATCAATGCATTTATCCTATGATTTGAAACATGCCCAGTTTCAATAATAACCATATTTTATGGATTTATCGAATTATACAGGGATTCTGTCGTATGGTTATGACACCAGGTAAGTCAGCTGATGTCTCTATGGGCCTACTCTTATTGGCCGAGTTTGATCCGAAATTAAAAATTTATGTTGATTCTTACATGTTTGGAAAGAACATCGGAAGATGGGTTGCAATTTATTAATACACTATAAGGTCCTATACTACCGATTGTTTATTAAACAAACCCTTATGGAGAATTCAAAAACTTAGTTCCTGCTTATTAAAAAAGATTAAAAATTGTGCCTATCATGGAGTTTTATACTATTTTGAAAAAACGACAAGATAATATCCTTACCTTCAATATTTATCCATAATTCTATTAGGGTTAAACATACTAAAACTGCATATGGTGGTCTTTTCATTTTGAAAATCTTTTTATTATACGATCACCACTATAAGGTTATCTTCAGACCACTGGACGTGTTCTTTAAAGTCCTAATCCAATCAATCGATAGCTTCACACGTTTATATATATGGGAAATCTAAGTCACGCTATAAGTAAAGTATATAAGTTATTTGATTCACAGAAACCATTTGAATACTGCTCAATTTATATTGCGAACTTCATGCATAATTAATTCCAAAAGAAAAAAGTTTTAAAGTTGAATTAGGTAACGTAGTCTACATCGGCATGAGCGAACAGATTGTATTATTCAAGGGATGTAAACATGTCTGGCAGATCCATCTTTTGTGCAGCTGTCGGCTTATGAAGTGAGACCCAGGGAGATCTGGCAATCTAACCAAACAAAACTAAACTAAAGGTGTCCATTGTGTTGTATTATGTACTGTTAGATAACAAGTTTGTATTTCCCGCTATATGACGTCATCACGAGAGACACGTGATTATGATCACTCTTGTTCTAGAAGCTTGCCAATGGCCTACGAGTCTGTAATGTATCGCCGATATTAAACCATTTGTATTACTGCTTACGTTCTATTTTATGAATAAACAACATAATAAAACATGGTGTCAGAAGTTAACTGGATTCAGAAGTAACGAATAGTGAATGGTATGTACATGTATAGACTATAATAACTGAGAAATTTGGTGAAAATTAGAAAACGTGGTCGCGGAGAGAAAAACAAAATGTCGGACGAAGAAGGACAGTCGAGTTCTCGTAGTGCATCTAGGCCTACAGCAACTTCAACTAGACCTACATCCAGCAATATGAATGGTGTCGCGAATTTTAATTCTGTAAAATTACCTACAGTTCCTCCTCCCGAGAAATTCAATTTTCAAGAAACTTAGTTATGGCCTAAATGGTTGAGAAGATTCGATAGATACAGAGTAGTATCTGGCCTCAGTGAAGAGAGTCAAGACAAACAGATCAACATGCTTATATACGTCATGGGTCCTGAATCTGAAGATATTTATCGAAGTTTTAATGTCGACACAGATGTTAATATTACGTACACAGAGGTCAGACAAAAGTTCAATGATTTGTTCATAGTCCGAAGAAACGTCATATTTGAACGTGCTCAATTCAACTCTAGAGTGCAGAAGGAAGGAGAATCGGTAGATAGTTTTATAACAGCACTCTATCCTCTTTCTGAATACTGTGAATATGGTTCACTTAGAGATCAATTAATACGTGATCGTATTGTAGTGGGTATTAAGGATGAGAACTTATCTAGAAGGTTACAACTAGACTCCACCTTAACCCTGAAGAAAGCAATCGATGCAGCAAAGCAGACAGAAACTGTTATTTCTCAGAATAAAGTCTTACGAGAAGATACGGTAAATGCAAACGTGAATGTTATGTCAAAACAGAAATTTCACAGTCAAAAGTCAACGAAGTCAAAAGACTACAAGAAACCAGGAAATCCACAACACAAGACATCACAGAATGATAAGTGTTACAGATGTGGAAGATCCAAGCATAGCCGAGATGAGTGTCCAGCAGCATCTGCGAAGTGCAGGAAGTGTCAGAAAATAGGACATTTTGAAAGACTTTGCCAAAGCAAACGTGTTTTTTCTGTAAATGCTAGAAATGATACTAATCCAGAACTTATATTTCTAGGCACTGTTTCAGGAGATATTAATAATATGTCTTATGCAAAAGATTTGTTTAAGGTTGATGCATATGTAGATAAAGCTCATGTAGATTTTAAGATAGACTCAGGGGCAGAGGTCACATCTATTCCTGAAAAAGCTTATGATAGAATAAGATCATTAAATCCTAAGATTAAGTTAAGTAAGCCTAACAAAGTATTATATGGCCCTAGTAAAGAGGTATTATTTGTTATAGGTATGTTTTCTGCTAATATAAGCACAGGTAATAAGTGTAGTAAGCAAGATATTTTTGTTATTAAGAATTTATCTACAGCTCTTTTAGGTATACCTGCCATATTAGATTTACATCTTTTAGAACGCACTGATAATAATATTAGTAGCAGTTGTGATAACTCTAGTTTTAAATTAGATAAAATTGATGTAGGCACAAAATCACCTTTTGTTGACAAATATCCAAAATTGTTTACTGGTTTAGGGAAACTAGAGGGACAGTACACTATTAGATTACGTCCAGATGCAGTTCCTTATTCTGTAGTTACATCTAGAGCAGTTAAGCTGCCTCAATATGAAAAACTTAAAACCGAGTTGAAACATTTGTTAGACACTGGTGTAATTTCTAAGGTTGATAAACCGACTGATTGGTGTTTCCCAATCGTACCAATTGATAAGGACGATGGTCGGATTCGTTTGTGCGTAGATTTTACTATGCTAAACAAAAATGTTTTAGTTGAAAATTATATGCTCCCAACTGTTGAAACTACATTGGGTCAATTATCGGATGCATGCTATATGTCAAAATTGGATGCCAATAGTGGATTTTTTCAAATAGGTATAAGTCCGGAATCACGTTCCTTAACCACTTTTATGACTCCTTTCGGGAGATACGAGTTTAATCGTCTTCCTTTTGGAATAAATTCCGCACCGGAATATTTTCAAAAACGTATGTCGCAACTCTCGGACGGATTTTCAGGTGTATTATGTCATATGGACGATATTTTAGTGTTTGGCAAAACTAAGTCAGAACATGATAAAAGGCTCAATCAAGTTTTAGAAAAACTTGAAACTTCAGGATTAACTTTAAATTTGTCGAAATGTAAATTTTCACAAACACGTGTAAAAATTTTAGGACATATTATCAGTAAGGGTGGTATAGAACCTGATCCCGACAAATTAAAGGCAATAAGTAATATGGAACCTCCAACTGATATTCATGGAATACGCAGAATTTTGGGAGTTATCCATCAATTAGGCAAATTCACTCCTAATTTAGCTGAATTAACACAGCCTTTGCGTGAATTAATATCGCCAAAAGTAGAATTTACTTGGACAAATAGGCGTCAAAATGCTTTTGAAAGAATTAAAGTTGAATTATGTTCACCTAAAATTTTGAAACATTATAATCCTAATCACGAAACAAAAGTGAATGCTGATGCATCAAAGTTTGGTTTAGGAGCCGCACTTTTTCAAAAAGCTAATTCCAACGATGATTGGAAACCTGTTTTATTTGCCTCGAGAACAATGACTTCCGCAGAGCAAAATTATCCACAAATTGATAAAGAAGCGCTAGGCGTAACCTGGGCTTGTGATAAATTTTCAGATTATTTAATCGGTATAAAATTTCATATCGAAACAGATCATAAACCTTTAATCTCATTGTTAGGAACCAAATGTGTAAATGAGCTACCTGCAAGAATTCAGAGATTTAGATTACGGTTATTTAAGTATAGATATACAATTAGTCACGTTCCCGGTCGTGATCTAATTATAGCTGACGCTTTAAGCAGAGCACCTTTATCGGTTACTGCAGATAAGTCTGATTTAGAATTATCAAAAGAATGTGAAGCCATGATAGCTGGCGTAGTTCAAAATTGTAAGAAACTTGAAAATCGTTTAACTGAAATTATTAAACAACAGGAAATCGATCCTGTATGTGTTAAAATTAAAGAATATGTTAAACATGGATGGCCAGATCGTGTTATTTTCAGTAGTGCATTAAGAGCATATTGGGCTGTACGCCATGAAATCGCTTTAGTACAAAATATCCTGATGAGAGGATCGCGTATTTTAATTCCAAGCTCAATGCGGTTAGAAATTCTTGATAAACTTCATGAAGGTCATATGGGTGTAACCAAATGCAGAGATCGAGCCATGCAAAGTGTATGGTGGCCTAACCTAAGCTCTCAAATTGCAGACTTAGTTTATAAATGTACTCAGTGTGCTGAGCATCGTGATAAA